CCAAAAAAAAAAAAAAAAAAAAAAAAAAAAAAAATGTCCTGAAATGTAAAGTTACATAAAAATGTAATTTTTTATGATGAAACATTTTACATATAATAGTGGAGAGAATACAGTAATGAAACCCTATGTACCTATCACCCAGACTCAATTATTATCAAGTCACTGAATGTGTTTTCGTCAGTTCTACATCCTCCCTCACCCTGGATTATTTTTAAACTATTTCAGATATCATATAATTTCATTTGAAAACATTTCAGTATAGGTCTAAAATATAAAGACTCCTTTTTAATTCCTTTATCATAGCTTTAAAAAGAACATAAGAGTGAGGGCAGTGAAGTAGGAGGAACAAGAGAGATTTCTGAAATGGTGTTAAAAAAAACAAAAACATAATTTAAAAAAATCATCAGTTCTACAGGCAGTATTCAAATTTCCACCAATTGAATCACAAATATGTGTATATATACTTAGGACATATATGATATACAATAGATAATATATATTTATGATATATAATATATATTTTCAAATCAGGATCCAAATAAAGTCCATGTACTGCAATTGGTTAAGTTTCAAGTTTATTTTAATTCACACTTTCCCTCCTCCACATCCTGTTTTTTTCCTTGAAAATTTTTTGTTGAAGAAAGTAAGTGGCTTATCCTGTGGTTTCTACGGTCTTGAGTGTATTGATTGCATACTCATGGAATAATTTAACATGATTTTCTATTCCTTGTACTCCCTATAAATTGGTGGTTAGATCTGAGGCTTGAGTTTTTGGCAAGAGTACTTCGTAGTTGGTATTGTGTCTTTCTAATAGGAGGTACATAATATTTGTCTTTTTCTTGTGATATTAACAGACATAAATCTTCGTGACCCAGATTTATTATTTCATTGAGTTTAAAATATATTCCATCTTCATACATTAAGTGGAATATTTCCATAAAGAGAGACACGCTTCTTTAACCATTTCATTACCCTGAGATTCAGTTTGTTTCAGGATAAATATCTGACTATTTCTCCTTATTTACCAGCTTTCAAAATAATGGGTTGATCTTTTAGCATTTTCCAAAGGCTTTAAAAAATTTTTAGTGTCATTATACATGTATAATTTTAACATGGTTGGTATATTTTCATCCGCTGCAGTTTTTATTCTTGTTGTTCAAATGCCCATTTTTGGCCTTTCAGAACCTTTTCATGTTGACTCTTGAATTCATTTGACATGACCCCAGTAATCTTTGAAAATTGTATTGCTTTCTGGTATGATAAGCTATTCCAAGTTCATCTTGGACAATTCCTGCTCCAAACCTGGACACATCCAATTTTCCAAAGACCTCTTACATATGGTACTTAGAGACCTCAGTCAGAGTGTTAGGAATGCTCATTTCTGTGGTGTTAGTCATTGTTTCCAGGCCTTTTCAGAAGACATACCTAGAAAATAATATTCTAAAGATAAATGTAAATTATGAGCTCATACTGACATTTCCAGATTAAGTTTAGAACTAAGGGTTTTTAACTTAACTTTGTTGATTGTCCTTCTAGTTCTCCTTTCTCCATACCAAAAGTCCTGATTCTCAATTACAGCAACAAATTACTCCTTTGCTTTATCCCATTACACATAGTAATCTCAGAGTAACAAACCAACACACCCAGCAACAATATGATTCCTAAAAACAATTTAAGAATTTTTTTAGAGTTCTTTTTTTCCTCTGTTTGTGGTACACCATGAGGGAGGTACAAATTATACTTGAAAATATATGTTTTAAAGTCACTCAAAATAATTCTTCTCTGTATGGTTATGCCAAAAACAGTTATGTTCACAACTAGGTAAACAACAGGTTCACCTCATTTATTGTTTTAGACTTTTAATGTTAGCTTTTCAAATTTATTTTTGTGTTAGTTTGTGTAGTTACTATATAAAATATCTATAAGATTTGAAAGTTAAATCCATAAAACAAAAGACATTCAGGGGAGTCAATTTCCTAACCTTCCTTTCTGTACCTGTGTACTCATACTCTCAATAGTAAATCATTTAAAAAATTTTTACATTCAAAAATACAAATTATAGATAATATTCATAGTGACATAGTATATATACAGAATAGGATATATACATATACTGCTGCTTTTTAGATTGCAGGGGTGTATCCTACACATTTAACTTATATTTCCTGGTGTGTATGCTACACACTTAATGATGTTTCCCAGGGACCCTTTCAGAGCAGTATATATAGATATTCTTCATTCATATTTCAGCTGTGTAATACTCTCTTGTATGGAGGAACCATTGTTTATTCAGTAAGTTCTCTGTTGAAGGATTCTTTCCCAGCCTTTTACTATAACGAATAATGCTGTAATAAAAAGCCTTGTGCATTTATCTTTCCATATTTTTCCAGTCTATCTTTGACATAGATTTTGAGAAGTAAACTTGCTGAGTTAACTAATAAATGCATATGTATTTTTGATGGAGAGATATTGCCAAATTTCTTTCCATAGACAAGGTACCAGTTTTCATTCATACGAGAAATGTGTGAAAGTACCTGTTTCCTCATAATCTTGCCAACAGAATATACTGACAAACTTTTAGATTTTTCTAATCAGATAGGTGAGCAATGCTATTCCATGTATGGTTCTCTCTGTTTTTTTCTTTTTCCCTATGAAGTAATTTACAACATACAGAAAAGCCACAACAGTAGATCAAATAACTTTTTTCTTGAACCATTTGAAAATAAGTGGCTCCATGACTCCCACATGCTTTAGTGTATATTTCTCAAAGATACGAGCATTCTTCTATGTAACAACAATTCAAACATTAATATCAGGTGGTTAATATTGATATTAGTACCAAAGAATGCTCAGTCCCATTCCAATTTTGTAATTGTCTTAATAATGTTCTTTATAAGAAAGGACCCAAGATCACTGAATACTGTTGTTTGCCATATCTCTTTAATCTTTCCTTGACTTTCACGACCTTGACTCTTCCCACTTTGGTTATTTTGTAGAATGTCCCTCAACATGGATTTGCCAGATATTCCCTTACAGTTAAATTCAGCTTACGCAATTTTGGCTGGAATATTACAAAAGTGATGCCATGTTCTCTTAGGTGGTACATAATTTAAACTTGTCCTATTACTGGTGATGTTAACTTGGACTACTTAATTAAATGGTGTCTGTCAGGTTTCTCTATTGTACAGTTACTTTTTTCTCTTTCTAATTAATATTTTGTTGACATATACTTTGAGACTTTATAAATAAACAACCCTCATCAAATTTTCACCCACTAGTTTTAGTATCCATTGATGTTTCTTGGCTAGATTAATTATTGCTTTGATAATGGCCAAATGGTGATTTTCTAATTTTCTTTCCTTCTATGACAATTAATTGTCAGTTTACTGTAAGAAAAAGCTATCTTTTCTCCTCACTTACTTATTCATTTACTTATTTCATTATGGACTAATGAACTCCTGTTTTATTTGATGGGTTATTGTTTATTATTATTATTCATTACTTTGATGCTCAAATTATTACAGATTTAGGCAGTGAGGGCTCCATAAATTGGCTTTGATATCTTCTTGATCTGACCCCATTGCTCTCTGAGTACTTCCCTACTTAGTGGCATAGCAGGACATTCTAACTTATATTATTTGTACTTTTCTTGGCTCAGTGTTGTAATCAGCCATTTCTTTAAAGAACCCTAGTTCTTTTTTGAAGCGAAATGAAATTTAGACACCAAAATTTGGGCACTAGGTGTGCACATCATTAGTGGGTTTTCACTGCTCTCAGCCCTCTCAGAGAACAGAATTAGAGCATGTACATATAAAAAAAGACAAGCAAATACATGTGCATGTATTCTTATATACATACACATTCACATCTATGTTATTTCTCTATTGAAAACCATCATTTTACACTCTTGTCTCCAATTCTAGTCCAATACCACAGAGTTCATTCTGGTTTTATTTCTGTTTCTATTTGTAACTTCCTTTCTTCAGTGAGAAACCTGGCTCTCATTAGCCTCATTATATCTAGTTATTGTATCAATCCTGCCTTTCTCACCCTGCTTGGACTCCAGTATCTCACACCAGGCCACTGCCACCATGGGGGTCCTTGTTTCCCTCTTTGGGCTCTGACACTCTGCACCAGGCCATGTAAGCACCTATTCATCCATTTTAGGCTCCACCATGTGGTGGGTGCTGCCACCCCCATTCCCACTTCACCCAGCCCCCTGCATGGATGTCTGTCTTGCTTAACCCCCTATAGCTTTGGGCTTTGGGAATGAATAAGGAAGATAAGAAGTAAAGGAAGACTGGAAAGAAGGACAGAAGGCAGAAAGGAAGGACAGATTTTTCAATTTTCTTATTATGAGTAAGAATGAATATCTTTTCAAATGTTTAACACCTGTCACTTGTAGTGTGTGTGTGTGTGTGTGTGTGTGTGTGTGTGTGTGTGTGTGTGAACTATATGTTAACATCTCCAGCAATTTTGCTATACAGTCATTTGCTATAATCTCTTTTTTCTCAAACTCTTTGTTTATTAGGAGTATTAATCTTTTGTCTGTAACGTAAGTTTCAAACATGTTCTCTGAATTTGTCATTAGTTTTTTTTTCTTCCTATTTATTTTTTTTGCCACACAAAGGTTTTTATTTTATGTAATATAATGTAGTACCTTTTTTTCTTATAGTTTGCAGATTTCAAATCAATGTTGAGGAATGGCTTCCTTTTTATATATGCCCTGGTTGCTTTTTCATTGATTTCCAGTTTAGGTAGATGTTGGACTGTGTTTTTGTGGGAAAAAACCTGACTCAACTCTGTCTCCTCACACTTTCAGCTGGAGTCCAGGAGCTGGAATCACGCTTCCTGGTACCTGGAGATCTATTAATTTTGACGGGGAACAAAGTGCAAATGCCGTGTGATGCCATTCTGATAGATGGAAGCTGTGTGGTAGATGAAGGCATGCTGACAGGTATGGTTCTATCTCCTAGCTTACAGCCTCTGCTGGTTCTCCCAGGTTTTCCCTGAATGATAATGGCAAAGCCTGGGGTTGCTATGGGACCTTCCTGTCCCCACAAATCTTATTAACAGTCCTGCACTGGATGGATCTGAGAGTTCAAATTAAAGCTGCTTTCTATGTACTAGGTTAGATATTACAACCCTGTCATTTTACCTTTAAATATTTTAGAGGTCATTAGATGTTTCAGAATCATCTGTGACTTTTATGTTTAGTATTTTTCTATAAAATACATCTTCAGAAAAACACGGAGGGTTTGAAAACCATTAATGAAATCCTGAAACACCTCCCCGCCAACCCTGCCCCACCCCGGTCAAGACCAGGCTCTTCCTAGCTTGGTTTGAAAATGTTGATAAGTGGTTGAGGCAGGATTTGCCAAATCTGCTAATTTCAGAGTACACACTGGATATTTTGGACTAACTGTGTTTCATTTTTAAATCGCATGCTGGAGCTGGGAGGGACATCATATCATGGATATGAAAGCTGAGGTTCAGAGAGAAGTGACTTCTCAAGGTCACGGCGCTTTGAGTTCTTACTCACATATGCATTTATGAGAAGATGCTGTGCCAACCTTTCTGTAAGCTAAAAAATCATAAAGCCTTTTTCAGAGATGGAATTGGAGGCTTTAAATACGTATTGATGTACAGTACTGTGGTTCCCATTAAAGTCCAAATCAAGTCTATTTCTCCTGGCAGACCAGGAAGGCATTAAATGCAGACAAGAGCACACAGCTCCCTCCTATGTGAACTTACAAAACAAAACAAAACAAAACAGGTGTGACAGGTCAGGTTCCTTTCTCTAGGGAATCCATAGACTGATAAAAATCCTTTCGTGCTGGGACTTTTATAATGCCAAGTACAATTGTCCTAATGAAAGTGGCCCTAGTATACTGGAACATATCCCTGATCTTATACTGTCCTTTCTACAAATGGAGGTGGAGGGCTTCAATAAGCTTTATTCTCTAAGCTTTATTCTTTATTTGGTTACTTTCACAACTCATTCACCACCTTGTATTGCCACTTAACCCCCTGAAATCTGCCCCTCCCAGTGGGCTGGCAAGGGTCATGAATGTCCCAATTGGCAAATCCAATGGATTCTTTAAATTTCACATCTTACTGGCCTATCTGCTGCATTTACCCATTCTGACCATCTCTTCCTTCTGAAAACACTCTTCTAACTTTCCAAGTCAGTGCTGACTCTCCAAGTTCTTCTACCACTGACAATACCATTCAGCTTCCTACACTTCTCCTCTTCCTCCACCTCTTTGATCTTTGATATTGTTCACGGGTCCTGGACCTTTCCTTTTCTCACCTTTCACTCGAACCCTAAGTAATCTTGTCTTTTCCTGTGGCTTTAATTATTGTTTATAAGGTGATGACCTGTGACTAAATATCTCTGGTCAAGGCCTCTCCCCTGAGCTCCAGACCCAAATAAATATCTAACTGCCTACAAAGCATCTCGACATGGTCATTCCACAAGGCATCTCCAAATCAGGGACCAAAAGGCATTCCTCCTTCTTCCTGTTATCCCTGTGTTGATGATTAATGCTACCCTCTGCTCTTTCTTCCAAGTCAGAAACCAGGAAGCCATTTAGAATTCCTCTGTCCCTATGATCTGCCAATATAAAAATCTCCCCAAGTTTTGTAGCCGCTCAATTTCTTATTTCTCAAGACCAGTGCCTCTTTTCTACTCCTACTGCCAGTTGCCATAGTTCAGACCTTGTCCTCTTTAAGCAGGACTCTTGTGATTTTTTTCTCAACTGGATATACAGCCTCCAACCTCATCAGGCTTCAATTCATTCCTTGTACTGCAGACAGAGTACACTCTCTTTGTACGTAAATGTCATAGTACTCTCCTGAATCAAATAGCTGAATATCTCCCTATTTCCCTCCTGCCACCAATGCCTATAGAAAAACATTTAAACGCTTAAGTATGTGCATGCAGGGCCTTCCACGCTTTGGCTCCTACATAGCTCTCATGGCCTCTCATTCCCTAGACCCCACAACTTGCTAGTCCCTAAATCTTTATTTCCAGTCTATTTCAGCATCTCTGTTTCATTTTACAATACTCATAGTATTTATAATATGACATTATACTTATTTGTTTCCATGGCTGTCTCCCCCTCTGGACTACAAACCTCTTAAACACAAGAACTATGCTTCTCCTTGTATCCCCTATACCAAGGGTTGTTCCTGCCACATGGCAGCCTCCAAAAAATGCCTGCTGTGTGATGAGTTAGTATTTGCATGTTTAAGTGAGTGAAGGCCTCCCACCTCACAAAATGAGATGCTTGTTTTCTGTAGGAGAAAGTATTCCGGTCACTAAAACTCCATTACCTAAGATGGATAGCTCTGTGCCCTGGAAAACACAGAGTGAAGCGGATTACAAACGGCATGTCCTCTTCTGTGGAACAGAGGTTATCCAGGCCAGGGGGGCTTGCTCTGGCACCGTGAAAGCAGTAGTACTGCAGACAGGTTAGTTAGCATCTCCTTCATTTTATTATTTTGATGAAATATTTTCACTCAGTTTGTCTAGTGCCTTAAATGAATTAGGTAAGGAGCAGTCTTTAGATGACATACCCCATATATGTAAATATAGATATTTAAAATGTGAATTGAGCTATGGCCTATACCTTTTAGTAAAAATAATAACATTGATGACAATTATTATTCATATGCTTTGTAATTTATAAACTATTTCCACATATCAAATTATCAGAACAAAGATGCCTGTCCTCATTTTGTACATGAATAGGCTGGGGCCTGCACAATTCAAGTGAAGTTTAAAAAGAATCACACAAGCCAGTCACTGGCAGAGCTGGACCTAGAACTTAGGTATTCTAACCCAAAGAACTAATCTCAACTTCTTTCCAGGCAGGACTAGAAACTGAAAACTTGATGATGAAAAGTATTAGAAATTGAATCCATCTGTATTTACTGGGCCATTTAATTTAAATTCAGGTGTTCTGTGTGTGTGCGTGTGTGCATGCATGTCCGTGCACACTTACAAATCCTTTCCTTAAAATGAAGCTGTATTTGGAAAAGCTGTGCTCTGCCCCCATATGGTGCTTTCCTATCTCTGGGATGCATTGAAATTAAAAGTATAAGGAAGAAAGGCCAGAGAGGAATAGGCTCTGAAAGAGCTAAGGTATATCCGTTCTAGCACTTAGGTATTTGGCCGATTATCCTTTAATTGCATTTGGGCTTAAGCTCTGTTTAAGTATCTCTAGAGAAAACAAAGGCTGTGTTGAGGATTGGAGGAGCACTAACAGTAGTATTTGTCATCCTGAGAGTATGAGGTGTGTGTTTGCTGCTTCAGGATTCAACACTGCAAAGGGGGACCTCGTGAGATCTATTCTCTACCCCAAGCCGATGAATTTTAAGCTCTACAGGGATGCCATCAGGTTCCTCCTGTGCCTCGTAGGGACAGCCACCATCGGGATGATCTATACTTTGTGCGTCTATGTGCTCAGTGGGGTAAACAGCTTTTGTTCTTTTACTACATGCACACGTACACTCATCTATATTTTATACTCTCCATGTTGACCTTAATATAAGGCGCAGTTTTCAAACCTGGGAAAGCAAAGCCAAACACTGAAACCTGCTTATATACTCCCAGATGCCCAATATAAGCAATTGATCACCAAGTTCCATAATAGCCATCAGATCTAGCGGGATAAAACACTTTGTTTATTGAGATATCAACATGCCTCTACTCTTGGACTTTTCCTTACACTATTTTTTCATCTTCAATATGAGGATGTTTATTCCAATAGTGTAGTATTTTATAGCTGTTAAACGACGAATTTAAAATAAAACCCAGTGTTGGTGAGATCATGGCAAACTGGTACATTGTTCTCCGCTGGTAGCAGTATGAACTGTTACAAGTTTTTCATTGCACTTTGGCAAAATATATTGAGAACCATAAACATGTTCATACCCTTTAAACCACGTTTGGCCCACTCACATCATTTCTAGGAATTTGACCTAAAGAAGTAAACAAAAAGGAAGAAAAAAGTCATATGCATAAAAGTGTTCACGGTTGATTTATCTGTAATAGCTAAAGAGGGACTTTATCTTCCCAGGAACCTCCGGAGGAGGTGGTGAAGAAAGCCCTTGATGTCATCACAATTGCGGTTCCTCCCGCTCTACCTGCTGCCCTGACCACAGGCATTATCTATGCCCAGCGGAGGCTGAAAAAGAGAGGCATCTTTTGTATTAGCCCCCAGAGGATTAATGTATGTGGACAATTAAACCTTGTCTGCTTTGACAAGGTATGTGTGTTTCATTCTCATCCTCAGTGACATTTTTATTATGATTGTCATCATGAACAGGTACTTTACACTCTTGTGAGGCAGGAAACATTAGATGTGGGTACTGGGTACCTGACTTCGTTTTGTCTCTGGTTGGATGTGTGATCTAGGACAGATACATCTCTTGAGCTCTCAGATTCTAGGGTTTAGAGAAGGAAGAGTAGGGACGGAATAGGTGAATATTTTAGGGTTCTTCTACCTCCAATATTCTATGAAACACAATGAATTAAAATAGCATTCTGTCCCTCTGTAGTCAATACCCTCATGCAAAGAACAAAATTTAAGACTTTTATTACGGTTACTACTGTATCCCTAATGCTAGGACCGTTACCTGGCACACAGTCAGTGCTCAGTAAATATTCATTGAATTAATGAATGAATAAAAAAGGAAGAGTTTATTTAGCTGTGTCTTACTATGAGACTTGGTTAAAATAAATCCCCAGTCAATCCCTTACTATATTTTCCCATCTGCAGTATATTGCTTAAAATAATCCTTGATCCCATGCCAGTTACTCCCAATCAGCCTCTTATTCTACCTTCTCCTGAATATATTCTTTTTGTCTATATACACGTGTGCTGCTGGCCTGAAGGTGAGAGCTGTAAGAGGGTAAGATGGAAATGAAGGGCTGTTTTGTGCCTGGGTCTTAATTTATAAAGGTGACTAAGTGACCACAGGCAGAGATCGATGCCATTGAAAGAAAAGTTTAATGTTACTCACAGTTCCCCTAGACAGAAGAGCCGTGTCTCACCAGGCAAGGCCCCAGGAGGAATGCCAGATTTTGATCAGGAAGCAAAACAGGAGTGAGGGGAGTGCTTGGATTATGGCCTTTATAGGAGTTTCTGCAGGAAGGGCAAGACAGAGCAGGGTACACAGCTGACAATTGGCTAGTGTGAATGATTTTGGTGGGCTTTGGGCTATAGGAATGGTCTTTAGTTGTCTAGTAGCTGGCGCTGGGGTGATTAAGTCAGACTGTTTCCTGGGGAATCTGGTCAGATAGAGAAGGTATGACTCCTGACTGGTTAGTTTGCATATCAGAGACATGTTGTTGGCTGAGACCCTGGTTATCTCTAAGAATTGGCTAGCCCCAAGGAGGCAGTCTGTCCGTCAGAAAGGTTTCTTAAGTTAAACTTTTGGTGGTGGGCACACTGTATGATATACAGAAGGAGAACTATAAGGCTGTGCACACAAAACTTATATAATTTTATTTATAACATATAATGTAAACCACCGTTTTCACAATTAAAAATAGATTTAAAAGAGAGAGAGATTTTGTAACATGTCAAATATCATAATATACAGAAAATTTGAAAAGATATACAACCCGAGGACATTGTAGGCAGGCGAATGTGGGCAAGGAGAGCAATAGAGTGTGATTTTGATCAGAGCAGAACATTAGTAGCGGGAGAGGGTGTTGTAGACTCCAAATGTATGGCTAAGAAATTTTTATATACTCTTTAGGCAGTGGGGAGCCATTGAAGGTGTTTTTTCTTCTTTTTTATTGTTGCCTTCCATCTTCTTAATTTATTTTTTTATTGTGGCAAAAGATGCATAACATAAAATTTACCGTTTTAACCATTTTTATGTGGCTTTAAGTGCATTCACACTTCTGTGCAACCATCACCACTATCCATCTCCAGGGCTTCTTCCCTCTTCCCAAACGGAAACTCGGTACCCATTAAACAGTACAGTGAAGGTTTTTGATAGCAGAGAATTAATGGGATCCGAGCTGTATTTTATAATTACTTGAATATCAGAGAGATCTACCAAGAACAGAAGGTTAATATGGCTCTTGCCACCATCTCAATGTTATTTCGTGATCAAACTAGCATCATAAGAAAAGATGTTCTGGGTCTAGGATCAAGTTATCCTTGGACTTGGAAAAGGAAACAGGGGGTGGGAAAGATAATTGTGATATGAATTTGAATAAAAAATTAAGTAATAATTATGAGCAATTATCATTATTCTCAGCTCTTACTCTATGCCAGACATTAAGTTAAGCACTTTGTAGTATCTCAGTTAATTTTTAAAACAACCCAATATGATTACGACCATGTTACTGATAAGGGCTCTGATGTTTAGGGGGATTAAATAATTGGCCCAGGTCACACAGCTGGTGTTTTAGCCCAGTCCAAGCTCTTCATCACTATACTGCACTGAGAGAAATACCAACAAACCCCTTTTTACCAAATAGATGTCGAATAGCAAACTATAATATTTCTTTAGAACAGTGAAAAATTCTACTTCCATTACTTGTTTCTGATGACGTACTTTTAACTTTTGCTATAAGTGCTGGGACTCACCCATTTTTAAAAAAATTGTATTGAAGTATAGTTGATTTACAATGTTGTGTTTAGTTTCTGCTGCACAGCAAAGTGACTCAGCTATACATATATATATTCTTTTTCGTATTCTTTTCCATTATGGTTTATCACAGGATACTGAATATATTTCCCTGTGCTATAGAGTAGGACCCTGGTTTTTATCCATCCTATATATAATAGTTTGCATCCGTTAATCCCAAACTCCCAATCCATCCCTCTGTCACTGCCCCCCTCCTTGGCAACCACGAGGCTGTTCTCTATATCTGTGGAGACTCACCCATTTTATAGCTCTTAAAAGCAGGCTTACCAAGGACTCTCGCATCCATTCAGTCTTCTGTTAAATTCTCGAAACAAGCCTCTGAAATATGTAAGGCAGGTACCGTCTTCTTCCCTTTATTGCTGAGGACACTAAAGTTCAAAGAGATTAAGTGCTAGCTCGTCACACAACTGCTGTGAGTTCATCAAATCTTCCACCCAGGACTCCAGATACCCACCTTATTGTGTCCTTCCTTGAAGAGCTGGTCTTGATCATGTGTTGTGACATATATTTTCCTGTTAAAACATAGCTTATCAGTGTCACTGTGGGGCTGCTGCATCTTCAGAGTCAACCGAGCTCTTGTTTCTGTTTAGACAGGTACCTTAACAAGGGATGGCTTGGATCTCTGGGGAGTCGTGCCCTGTGATAGGAGTGGGTGAGTACTTGGGACCAAATGCATTGTCATTTCTCTTTTCCCAGAACTCTTTGTTTTTCTTCCTGAATACTAATAATGGAAAGATTTTGGCACTGGCTTTGGTGAGCAGGAGTTGCCAGAGTATCTTCATTTAATTTCTCTTCTTGACAACTTCCAAAGCTCACTAAAACGTGCATACTTCCCCCAGCCCAGTCCCAGCCCTGGGACATTCACAGAACCCAGAAGATGAAGGGCAAGTTTTGACACTGCATTTAAATCTTTGCTAAAATGTGATTTGCTGTCAGCATATTAGTTCGGGGCCAGTGTGTGTCATTTGGACAGTACCAAGAAACTGTCCTTCAAGGAGGTAACACTCCTTGTACAAACTGAAGCCTTTTCACGTGCTAAGAGGAACACTGCCCTGACTTGTAGACACTGAATTTCAGGACGAGGAACATCTGTGGAACCACAGCTAGTATACTTCATTTTCCTTGGTATTCTAGTTCTGGCAACACTACTTTCTGGCTGCCAGAAACTCCTCTTTTCTGGCCAGAATGGACTCCGTTTTGGCAGTTTACAACTTAACGTGATAAAGATTTCCATGTCCCTCTGCTGGGGCTCTCTTGTTTGAGTTTGCTTCTCTGCCTGCTTTTTCTCCCCACTGCAACTTCCAGCGTGATCAGAACACGAACATATGACAAATTCAGGTTTTGAGGGTTTTTTTTTTAAATTGAGGTATAGGTGATTTCAGGTTTTTTTTAATTACTTTTTTTTGTCTTTTTTTTTTTTTCTTTTGCTTTTGAATTTCATTTTATTTATTTTTTTATACAGCGGGTCCTTATTAGTCATCCATTTTATACACATCAGTATATGCATGTCAATCCCAATCACCCAATTCATCACGCCACCACCCCACCCCCTGCCACTTTCCCCCCTTGGTGTCCATACGTTTGTTCTCTGCATCTGTGTCTCAATTTCTGCCCTGCAAACCAGTTCATCTGTACCATTTTTCTAGGTTCCACATATATGCATTAACATACAATATTAGTTTTTCTCTTTCTGACTTACTTCACTCTGTATGACAGTCTCTAGATCCATCCACGTCCCTACAAATGACCCAGTTTCGTTCCTTTTTATGGCTGAGTAATATTCCATCATATATATGTACCACTTCTTCTTTATCCATTCATCTGTCGATGGGCATTTAGGTTGCTTCCGTGACCTGGCTATTGCAAATAGTGCTGCAATGAACATTGGGGTGCATGTGTCTTTTCGAATTATGGTTTTCTCCAGATATATGCCCAGGAGTGGGATTGCTGGATTATATGGTAGCTCTATTTTTAGTTTTTTAAGGAATCTCCATGCTGTTCTCCATAGTGGCTGTATCAATTTACATCCCCAGCAACAGGGTAGGAGGGTTCCATTTTCTCCACACCTTCTCCAGCATTTATTGTTTGTAGATTTTTTGATGATAGCCATTCTAACCGGTGTGAGGTGATACCTCATTGTAGCTTTGATTTGCATTTCTCTAATAATTAGTGATGTTGAGCATCTTTTCATGTGCCACTTAGCCATCTGTATGTCTTTTTTGGAGAAATGTCTGCTTAGATCTTCCTCCCATTTTTTGGTGGGGTTGTTTGTTTTTTAGATATTGAGCTGCATGAGCTCAGGTTTTGTTTTTTAATGAAAATAGTTCCCTCTCATACTTGCAACCTAAATCACAAAGCATCTTATATATAAAAGGTACATCATGATTCTTCTGCATTATGCAAATGACATACGATTTATCTATAAAATGTTTTAATTATATATGTTTAACACATTTTCATATTAATGTATTATTTATAAACAAGCCCGTTTCTGGAGTTGAAAAATTAATCCTGGTGCTTCTAACCATTTTAGTCTATAGAAGGAGGCTGTTACAAGTGGTAACTTTCTAAAGTTCTTTTCATTTTCTCTTGAAGATAGATTTGGATATATGCCTGGTCTTCTTGTTTTTAGTATTTTCCTGTTTCAGTGTCTATAAAAAATGTATGCATTTATTCACATATGTGAGCATTCAGAGAGCAGTCTTTTTCTTATTTATATTTATGTCCCTAATGCCATATAGCACTATAGCAGGCACACATAGTAGATGCACAATAAATGTTTGTTTATTTAAAGTGAACTTAATATGTTCCATCTTTTGAATGCTCTTCTCCTTATTGAATTGACATCATGTTATTCACAAAACTTTTAAAACTTTCTGTTTCTAAAAGTGACTTGTCAAATTTAAATAAAAATAATTGATATACTATTTAGATTATTGATAGATTAATCCAACTGTCACTCTCCTTCCCCCCTCCCTCCTTTCCCTCCTTTAAAAAGGTCAAAGTTGGCTCTAAATGACTAAAAGAGCAATTAAAAGTTTTTAAAAATTGTTTTTAAAGTATTTATTTGGCTGCATCAGGTCTTAGTCACAGCACATGGGCTCTTCGTTGTGGTGTGCAGGCTTCTCTCTAGCTGTGGTGTGCAGGCTCAGTAGTTCCAGCATGTGGGCTCTCTAGTTGTGGCACATGGGCTCTAGAGCTCACGGGCTCAGTAGCTGCGGTGCTCAGTCTTAGCTGCCCCACGGCATGTGGGATCTTAGTTCCCTGACCAGGGATTGAACCCATGTCCCTTGCATTGGAAGGCGGATTTTTAACCACTGGACCACCAGGGAATTCCCCCAAAGTTTTTTTAATTGACAAATTTAATTGATAGAATAAGAGAAAACAGATTAAATTCTAAGCAAGAAGTCAGCACCTGACTTAGTCGCTGTTAAATATCTTATTGTAAACTGTAAGCTCATTTCTAATAATTCTTATCTTTTCCAAAGAGGGCCTGCCTAATGTGCCAGGTACTTTAAAGTCATTGGAAGTCTACCTGAGCTACCTGGTCTTGATAAGTCATAAACATTCAAATAATAGTTCAAGGTCAGGGATGACAGAGGGTTCTATTTATTTTTGTGCAAACCAGGGTCTGGCCCAATCCTCCCAAACTCAGAACTGTGTATTCAGAATTACATACGGAAGACAGTTTGTGTGCCATCTTAAAGATAAGATTCTTTTTTCCTGATCTGTGTTTGCTTTACAGAGTGAGCTTGAGAATCTGTGTTAATCACTGATGGTGACTGCTTCCTTTTAGATGTTTACTAAAATACCGGAGACATATTGTAACCATTGAGATAACTTGATCTTTCAGTATATAATGATATGATCAACAGGCTCAGTCGAGAGGTTTTTGAGCTCTTAAGGAAGCTTGAATGAGGAAACCAGGAAGAAATATGGCTGAATTACGAGTTAACATTCTGAGGTATATGCTTTCAAGAACAAAACGCTAGAGCAACCGAAGGAAATGCAGGGTCCATATCATGAGAGATAATAGTCTGATCCTGGAGACCATGTTTTAAGACAAACTATGGTAAATAGTAAAAAATACAAATTCTTTCAAGAAACAGTAACTAGGAAGGTCAGAGGTCTGGAAACTGCACATTGGAAGCACAGCTAGAGGTTCCTGTGTAATCCCAGAGGAAGGGAGTATTAAAGGGGGTACAGCCAAGCTGGCCACAGATCTGAAGGAAGTTGACATGTGGAGGAGGAGGAACAAGTAGATTCTGACTGGCTCCAAGAGTCAGATTTGGCCTTAATCCAGGAAGCACCTTCAGTCGCTCAGGGTCCACCAAATAGCACGGCCTGCCTTGTGAACCACTTACTGTGCTAAACATGTAAGAAGGGACTGACCAATAAGGTCCAGAGGACATCCTTTTGTAGGCCCAGTGCCAAACTTGATGACTTCAACTCTGAGTTATTAAAAGAACCCTGCATATGATGATTGAGTTGTATCTCAGTAGACTTTAGATGAGGGCACTTTCTACAGAAAGCAATGGTGATGATGGCTGCAATATAGATCCTAGATGCCGGGGTGGAAGAGGAGAATGCCGTGTCCTTTTCAAAATGTCTTTTAAAAATTTCATTTCTTGGGGCTTCCCTGGTGGCGCAGTGGTTGAGAGTCCGCCTGCCGATGCAGGGGACGCGGGTTCGTGACCCGGTTCGGGAGGATCCCACATGCCGCGGAGCAGCTGGGCCCGTGAGCCATGGCTGCTGAGCCTGCGCGTCCGGAGCCTGTGTTCCGCAACGGAAGAGGCCACAACAGTGAGAGGCCCACGTACTGCAAAAAAAAAAAAAAAAAAAATTTCATCTCTTTACCATTATGATCTTTCAGATTTCCAGTAACCAACTCATTCATTTATTTGCTCTTAAATTTGCTGACTGTCTACTGTGGACCAAACATCAGATATGTTGGAGAGAGAGATATGGAAGAGACAGCCCTGCCCTGAAGAACAGATTGAAGGAGATACACAGATATACACAAGTAGCTATAGTATGAGCTAGCCTGTTCTGTCTCACAGCGTAAGAGATAAAGTGGTCTGGAAGCTCAGGTGGGAGTGGACGCACTTAGAACTAAGGGCAATACTTCTAGCTCTTTCTATACCTCTGGATTTAAATCAGTGCCAGAGAGAGGTTAAGGAAAAGAGGGAAGAAAGAGCTTGAGAGAACCTCAGGATTTTTTCTCATACTCATTGAACTTATGTAAGGACGATGGATGAATGAAGCACTCTTCATTTGGGGAGATTAGAGTGTAGATATGTAATGTAACAAAGCATATCAACTTATTTTTTAAAAGGATGGTCACCTCCAGAAGCTCCATTCTGGCCTGGAGGAATAGACTAAAGCCCTTTCCCTTTTCTCCTTTAGCTTCCAGGAAGTCCACAGCTTTGCCTCAGGCAAGGCTTTGCCATGGGGCCCACTGTATGCAGCCATGGCCAGCTGCCATTCTCTGATCCTCCTGGATGGGACCATCCATGGAGACCCACTGGACCTCAAAATGTTTGAAGCTACTACCTGGGTAAGCTTCTGTTCTGCAAAGATTCTAAGAAGCTTCCTCAATGCCAGGCAGACCAAGCCAGGTGTTATCATAGCTATTCAATACTCATAAAAATGGGAGGTCTCCAATATGGAGTACATATGGCAGTGAGGGGCAAACTCATCTAAGCCCCAGTTTTCTCCTCTGTACAGTGTATTTCCATATTAGGTTTATTGTGAGGATTAAGTGGAAGGACGCATTAAAAAAAATGCCTGGTGCTGTGCCTGGAATATATTACCAGCTCAATAGTATTAGTATAATTATTATATAATTGTTTTCTAACCCTTTTCAGCTGTAGTATGAGCCATGTCTGGTTTCAGAGTTATCTAGAGCATGGGGATTAGGGAACATCACTGTCCCCAATGCTTAGGATAATTCGTTGTTACCAGGAGTTTTATTCCTACTACTTTAGCATTAATTTTGTCTCTAAGACCAGACAATGAAAAGGAAAACCATGAGGGATTTTGTTGAGACTCTGAAGTAGATTTCAGATCAAATGGCCTTGTTTAGGAGGAGGAATCTGGCTCTCCCGGTTCTAGTCTTGGCTCTGTTCTGATTGACTCCTTCACCTCGTGAGGTCATCTCTCCTGTTGGGGTTTTCCATAACTTTAAAATGAGGGGATTGAATTAGACCAGCAGTGTTCACCTAAAAGAAAACAAAAAAGCTGGAATCTTTTCTTAAAAGGGAATTTTATTCAAAAGCATCCTACACAAAACAAATCGTTGGAGTTACTCTGGTTGAGATAGAAAAATGGGGAGTAAAAGCACAGCTTAGGGAACACACATCCCCACCTACTTAGCTACAAGCCCACCTCCACCCCCTATAGCCTGGTTCAGCTCCAGACCCCTGTGATACATGTTTGAGCCCCACTGAAGGACACAATCTTTAGGGTCCCTTCCAACGCTAATAGGGCATGGTTCTGTAGCAGTCTGATGTAACTTTCTCCATCCTTCTTGGGTTACTGTTTCTGTACCTTTAAGTAGGGATTATAATTTCTTCTCTGAGATTTTTTTCTGCCACTCAACGAGATGATTATAAAGCATTTTGGCATCTTTGGGTAAAAGGTTCCTCTGACTGTAATTTAGGGTCTTTATTATAGCAATTCCCGGGTGTTTACTGAACATTAACCACATACATCACAGTCCCGGCCCTGCTGTACCCTGGGGACCATCAATCCAAATTAGACAGAGAGCGAAGAGCAGGAGAGTGAACCAGGAGAAAAAAGGCAGTAAGGTGTGGGCTATTCACGCTCAGTGTTTTCAAGTTAAGCCCTTCAGAAATGGAGAATGAGCCTTTATGCAGCACCTTCCAGCAGAGAAAGCAGGAGAAATTGCATGAATAATTCAGAAGTGTCTGCCCTTCAAGTTCCTAGCATTTCCGATGCATTATTTTTGTGTGTGGCGAATTAAGTCTGGTTCACCTCCGTGTAGCTGAGGGAGGAGGATACATTGAGGCGGCTTGAGATTTTCTCAAGGGAAGGGTTTGAGCACAGTATTAGTGGATGAACAAGAAAGAAATCTCTACAATGAAACATCCTGTTTGAAATAGGAAATGGTGGTTTCCGGGCATGATTTCCACATCAAGGGAGCACCGGCATGTGCCATGGTTGTTAAGCCCTGCAAAACAGCCAGCCAGGTAAGCCTTGCCTGCTCTCCACCCCACAAAACCCAGCTCAGAAGGAAAGTCCTGGCAGGCCCACAATTTTGAAAGCTCAGAGATGTGTCTTCTTTGAATTCCACATGTGAAAATTGGCGAGACCTTGTTTCCCTTATTTGCTAAGCTAAGGATTGGGAAAGGAGTAATTTCCAGGAGCTAGGAGCTATGTGGTGTGTCCCTGTCCATTCCCCATCCCTCATCCAGGTCCCAGTGGAAGGAATTGCAATCCTGCATCAGTTCCCATTCTCGTCAGCGCTGCAGAGGATGACAGTCATTGTCCAAGAGATGGGGGGTGACTGGCTGGCGTTCATGAAAGGTGCACCGGAGAGGGTGGCCAGCTTTTGCCAACCTGAGACAGGTAAGTGGACAGACTTATATTACAATGGGCAAATCTGTATTTCCAACCCACATATGTCCCCTCAGCATTTGATGGATGAATCCAGTTGCCTACTGGCCATCACCAATTGGATGACTCACTGGCATCTCAAACTCGGCACCAAAACCAAGCTTATCTTTCTCACTCTCTCTATTTCCCATCTCAGTGAATGAAAGTACTACTCCCCCATCCCAGTTTAGGATTCTTCCTGGATTCCTCTCTCTCCCTCAGTGCCTCTGTCTTGTCAATTGCTAATCCATGGCCCTGTCACTCCATCACCTCAGGCCCTCATCATCCCTCCACTGGATCACTTCATAGTTGGTGAATTTGTTCCCTGCCCCACCCCGTGTCCCCTACTCTAATTCACCCTTCACACTGTGACCAGATTGGTTTTTCTGTCACACAGTATAATTATGTTAGCACA